TTAATATTAGCATAAAATATTAACAAAAATTTTCTTCTTTTTTACCTTTAAACTTTTAATTTTTCTAAAAAATTTTTATGCTATTATTAATTGAGTTCCAAATTTTTAATATTAAATCCAATTTTTCAATCAATCATTACTTAACTTCGAAGTAAATGAAAAGAAATGTTATTTAAAACAATATAATATTTTATGGTTTAATCAATATGTAAGCAACTAATTATTATAATTAAAAAAAACTTTACATCATATCCTTCCAAATTTTATTCATCTTTTCTTGTTCATCCATTCTTTCATTTTTTTTTTTAAACTACCATTAACATTTTTACTACATGCTTCTTCATTTTCATTATAAGAATAATTCGTTTTTTCTTTTTTAAAATTCCTTCTTTAGTGGTTCCTTTATCAAATTTAATTTTTCTTTCACTCTTATCAAACTTTTTCCCTCTTTTTTTTTTCATTTTTCTTACTTTCCTATCTTATCCTGTTTTTCGTCTTTTTTTTTCTTACTCTCTTTGTTAAATAAAGAAGAGGTTATAAAAAAGAGAGAGAAAGAAATGCGCTAAATTGATGTTCTTTTTTGAAAAAGAAAATCAATTTGAAAATGTGAAATATATTTATGCTTAGTATTACGATGTAGTTTTTTTTTAATCCATTTTCTTCGTTATTATTGGTAGTCGTAATGTTTTTTCTTTTTGTTTTTTGTTAAATGTTTTCCTTTTTATTTAAAAAAATAATTCTTTGCATATTATTATTTTTTGCTTTTTAATTAAAAAAGAAAAACAGAAATTTTAATGATTGATAGCTATATTATTGTTATTATTAGCCAATTATTTAATATGATAAATAACATTTATAACATTATTGAAAGTTATGATTCTATCATTTATTTATTAAATGCTAAAATTTTTAACAAATTAATTAGCTAACGAACAATTAATTAATAGCTAACCGTTTTCCTTTTTTTTTGTAAATGTGTATTTTATCATTTGTTTTGTTTTTTTTTTGAAAAAAACGGAAATTTTGAATAGAAAAAAAATTTCTTTTAATAGTAAAAAGACAAATTTGGTTATAAATATTGCTTTATATTTTGAAAATATTTATAATTATTTTGCAAAATTTGATGAAAGCGTGTGTACAAATGCACTAATCATTATGATCGAACGAATTCTATCAATCATTTGTAAAATTCTCTTTTTTTTTCGTCCTTTTTTTCTTCCCTTTTCTTTTCGTTTTTTTTTTCCTCATTTTCTTTTTTATTTTTTTACGAACTAAATGGAATTTTTAATTTAATAGTGTAAAACTTGAAAGTTGATCTTTTTGCTTGAAATTTGCAATCGCAAACGAATACTGATATTAATATCTAAGTATAGGTTAGGTTTAATATTTCGAAGTTAATTTATTTGCTGAAAAACTGCCAAATGTTTTGCTAATTATATGTTTTCCATCCAAAGTGTTTTGTAAATTCTCTCTTTTCTCCCTTCCCCTCTCTCTCTCTCTCTTTCTCAAGAAAAATGAAAAAAAAAACAAAAAATAACGAATTTAAAACTAAATTCGACGAGGTCATTAATTGTAATTGATTGCATCAAAATTAATGAATCATTTTCTATAATTGACAAATTATAAAAACAAAGGCTTTCTTTTCACTTCCTTTTACAATATCAAAAGTGATTTTAATGTCTTTTTTAATTCTTGACAATGAATTATTATTATTTTTTTTCTAAGTGATATTTCACAATTATTTGATTTGATATTTTAATATTTGATATTTTTAAAAATTGTATTATATCCGACGCTGAAATTTTATCATCGATAAATCCATATTATTAACTGCTCAATTTAAATTTATTTAATCAATGTATGGAAAATTAAAAATTAAAAAAATTTGTTAAATTTATCAATTTGATGAAAAAATTTATTATCATCATTTCTTAGAATTTTATGCTTAGAGCTAAAAAAAACGAGTGAATCATCTCATTGTTACTACAACACTTTCAATTTAATTATTCGAATCAATTAAAATATTAGTCGGGAATTATTGCGTAAGGACCAAAATTACTGCCTCATATATTTCAAATTTTATTCTAGCAATAATTAGTTCTGATCAGAAAATTAAATAAAATTAATTTTAATCAATTATACAACAAAAAATATCAAATGATATTTGATTTGATCATTGTTGAATTATATCCTTGCATAAGCTAGAAAATTGAAATAGATTACAAATGACGATTCGATCTT